TCCCCCCTTCCTGTATGCAGATATGATATCTAACTTTTTTAATTAAATGCCCTCTTTCTTTGTCTTCGGAACAAAATGACATATTTAGATTGCTTATGTTATTTTCTGGAAATTGGAGAAAGCATTACTAAAGGTCTCTTAATTAAAGTAATGAAGGGTTTCTTGTTTTGATTTATTAAAAAAGAAAATTATATGACATTTTTAATTAAGAAAATTTATTATATATCTGTAACCAAGATATTAAAAAATGGGTAACAGGGCCACTGTCTAGTTCTTATGGCATTATGAAAAGTAGAATAGATAAAAATATGATTGTCTTCATTCTAGGGAACTCAGAGATAGGAAGTTAATTTGTTCGGTTCAAATGTTATTGCTTAAGTTGTTATTGCTAAGCATGCTATTTTCGACCAGCACTTGAGAATATTGTTACCCTAACTTCAGGCGATTACTTGGGTTGTTATGTTTAACAAATATGCTATTACATTTGTTTTATTTTTGTATTCCATTGAACAAAGATTGTAAATTCTCGACATTTTTGCGCCATAAGGTTCTTCATAGGTATCCAAATGTAATTTTGTTGTAGGATGGTACTTTTCCCCAATCAGTGAGTGATGGTTGTTTTTTTCTGTTTTCATGAATGTCAAGATTTTTTTAGAAAATATCCTCTATTCTGTGCATTTTCTACAAAATGAATTAAAACATGTTTAACCAGTATTATTTACTGTGAAAATTCTCAAATAACCGAATTTTGGGAAATCCAGCTTTGCCCTGCATGCTTTTTGGAAATTCAGGAAAACAGGGTCCATTCCCCAATGCTCTCGAAGGGAATTTCATTAAATTAAAATACCCCAAAAAAATAAATAAATAAAGTGAAATAGTAAAAGACGAAAACTTCATTCATTGAAGGGGAAATTAATACAAAGTATTATCATGGCCTCCGTGCTTGAGTGGTTAAAAGGTCGCTGACTTGAGATCAACTGGTCCCTCACCCGCTGTTGGTTCCTGATCCTTACATTTTCCGGCTCGAAAATCTTTCCATTGAGGAAGCCAATCCAGCAGGCTTACGTAAGGTCGGTGTTCTACCCGGGTGCCCGCCTTGTGCCTGAAAAATTGCCCAGAGGGGCTCCTGGGGTCTTCCTCCACCAATAAAAGCTGGAAAAAAATCGACGAAAAAATCTTGGCGGGACGCTCTAGGATGGCCCGACTTGAGTGTACGGTCGCCCATATGGGCTTTCCGGCGGCGACCTTAAATAAACGTATTTAAAAAAAAAATGCATATGCAAGCAGACCTGGCTGTACGGGTGTAAAAAGCAAGTCATTTTTAGCTCCAACTCAGTTCTGGTTAACATGACATTATGCTCATTTCTTCACTGTCAGGCTGTGATTACTTTAAGTTGCTCATTTCAAAAGATTACTTAAAACAATGGCAATTGAACAATAATTGATAATTACGAATGCTTAGGATGAAATATTAAAACGGCCTAAAGTATAAAAAAGACTGCCTCACTCTTTTTATAAAAATTAAACATTATATATAATTTCCGAAGGATATTTATGTGGGTTACGATGGTTATGGATTATTCAGGTGACATTTAATGTAAAATTTAAAGCAAATATTACAAAATGTATAGTTATTTTTACATGTAGTTTTACCTAAACACACTCACCATTTATTCTTTGATGTGCATAATGTGACTCCTTTAAGTCTCTTATCCTAACATTAGGTCAATGTTTTTGAGTAGTGTGTGTAGACTGGTACAAATAGTAGTACAAAACTGTGACACTCTATGTTTCAAAGAATACCAACCAATCCTACAGTCTCTTATTTATTGCCTATTGGTTGACATCATATAATACTCATTCTGTTTTCATGTCTGGTTCAGTATCTGCATGTTCACATGCTTGTAAATTTAATTTATAACTTATATAGACATTCTTCTAAGAGGATAGGTTTTCTAAACATCTGTGGCCTGTTGTAATTCCATTCATCTTGAGTGTTTAATAATGTTTCCATTTAAAATTTATAGAGGAAATAGTCAGCAATAGTTGAATAGACATTATTAAAATACTTAGTCGCAGAAAGTTTTCAAAGGAAAAAGATAGGTAATTTATTTAAAAAAGGAAAAAGATAGGTAATTTATTTAAAAGAAAGGAAAAAGATAGGTAATTTATTTAAACGAAGACTGTCATAAATGAGAAGGTAATTATTTATATGCACTATATCAGCAGTGGGGGTCATGTGACCTGTGACATATAAGCTGATCACCATTAGAAAAATCAAAGTGCTGCAGCACTGAATGCGACGGACATGCAACCGGAGAAACATTTAGGTTTTTTTAGAAAAAAAAATAAAACACAAAATATATAACAGAGAAAATTTGTTCCATACAAGGAGCAATATATTTTGGGTCCCAATCTGATAAAATCCAGATTTTCTACTTTCAAGCAGAATGAAATATATGCCTAAATCCCTGGTCAAACTTGTAAATCAGTGTCATTATCGATTTATTCCTAGAAATGATATGTAAATGGAAAAAAAAACTTTCAACGACATATTTCTAAGATAAAACCATGCAAATAGACTTCAAGCATAATACATTATACCACGGATAAATCCGTGATTATACATGTGAGAATGTTATTTAGAATTGCTTCGTGTTTTAACATAGTGGGCATATAGACAATAAAATATATTAAGTCATTTGTATTTTTATTTCTTTTGGATATGTACGTATCATTAAAACTATTTTTGGTTAAGATCATCAGCAATTAAAAGTCACCGTATTTTTTAGATTTTTTAGCTCGACTTTTCTATGAAAAGGGGAGCTATCCTACTCGCCCCGGCGTCGGCGTCGGCGTTGGCGTCACACCTTGGTTAAGTTTTTCGTACCACCCCACTTTATTTCAGAAGTATTACAAGTATGGCTTTGAAACTTACCATACTTGTTCACCATCATAACCTCCATCTACAGACAAGAGTACATAACTCTGTCAAGGTTTTTGACAGAATTATGGCCCTTTTTTGACTTAGAAAGTGTATTGAGCTTGGTTAAGTTTTTTGTACCACCTCACTTTATTTCAAAACCATTGGAGGTATTGCTTTGAAACTGACCATACTTGTTTACCATCACGACCTTCATCAACAGACAAGAGGACATAACTCTGTCAAGGTTTTGACAGAATTATGCCCCTTTTTGACTTAGAAAATACATTGAATATGGGTAAAATCCACTTATTGCCTTAACCCTTTGAGATATTGCTTTTGAAACTTTTAATGCTATTTCACATCATTACCCCCATCTGTACGCAAGAGAAGGTAACTCTGCAGGGATTTGTTTTTTTAAAATTAAGGCCTTTTATCGACTAGAATCTTGGTTAAGTTTTTTTGTACCAGTCAACTTTTTGACTGAACTGGTTTGAGATATTAAATTGAAAGTTGGAATACTTGTTTACCATCATGGTCCCAAACATGGGCAGGAGAAGGTAATTCTGTTAAGGATTTTATTTGAATTATGGCCCTTTTTGACTTAGAAACTCAGTTAAAATTTTCATTCTTGTCCACTTGTTGAACCTAACCATTTGAGATATTACTTTGGAAGTTGGAGTTCTTATGTGCCATCATGAGACCTATCTGTAAGCAAGAGAAGATAACTCTGTGAAAATGTTTCTTGATTTGTACTTAGAAATTCCTAGTTAAAGTCTTGTGTGCCCTTAACTGTCAAAGTTTTGTTTTATAGGCAAGCACTAAAAAAGTCGAGCGCGCTGTCCTTCTGACAGCTCTTGTTTTATTTGCAAGGGCCAGAGCACATCGTTTTTATTTTAATCTACATGTCACAAATTTTTTTAAAAGCACTATAGTGTTTAGTTGTCCTTTTCATTTTCACACTAAATTACATTTTCAACTTGTTTGCTTCTTACAATTGTATTGAATTTCTAAAAGTATTGCATGTGAACAAAGTAAGTATCTGCTGGTTTATAACATGTATAATATGTGTACTCCCTACTGTCCGAAAATCAGCACAGGTAAAGCAGAATCTATTTTAGAATAGCGAAGGTTAACTCATATCGTGACCTAAGAAAATGTATCTAATTTATTAATAACTGCTGAATATTCAGCTAAAACCCGCGGTATGAGTCACGAAAATAGTTCTTCTTTTATTAATGCGCGAGTTTATTCTAGAGTCCAAAAAACTTTTATTTGTTAATAATTAATGTTTTGTATAATGTAGAAATATTTATTTCCTACTAATAATTTCATTGGAACTCAGAGCTTACACCTTATTATAGTATAATTTTGCTGTCCTACTTTTTCGAACAGCGGTAAATCGTTTTCGGCAGTAATTTGCATATTGGCGCAATAATACTACGGGACTACAACGTTTTTATCAATCACATACGTCCATATTTTAACTTTGATAACTTAATTGAAATTGAAAAGCGCTAAATTATGGAAGATTTTAAGATATCCCGACATAGTATGGGAGTTTTAAAGGATCAAATTCATGTACTTTTTCTTGGGCTGTTAATCGGTTGAGGACACTTTGCGCGAGTGTGGCAGACGAAATCCCATGTAGATGACTTAGCTCTGAACGCGCCTGAGGGCGCGTCCGTCGCAAAAATCAAACACATACATGTGTCAACTCAGGCCTGAAATGCTATACAGCTAAAGACATTCAATCCAGACTGATAAGCTAAATAAATAGGAAACTGTACCTTACCATAGCTTTAGTAATAACACTGAATAAGACATTGACAATAAATGACCATTGTAAAACGCATCAAATGGATTGAGTGAATAATCTAGACCTACATCAAATGGACTTTTTATATTGAAAAACTATTTTTAGTCTCCTCATGTAAAAAACCTCAGTTGAGACCCTTTAAAGCTGTATACTCATGGTGGTAAAGGTGAATTCATTAAAGGAGAATAGTAAGTTAAATTTCCAGGATAACCTTATTAAATAACAACTAATGCCAAGTTTTCTAAATAAGTCATATTTTTTCTCTTTTGTACTTTTTAATAGATCTCTTTTTTTCTTTATTTTTCAGCCCCTCCTGTGATATTAGATATGGTGGACTATGAAAAGTAAGTCTTTAAGTTGATTCAGTATTATGATAGTAACTAATTTGTTACTATATACTACTATTACCCTGAGCCTCCTGGTGGGGAATGTATTTACCCATGTGACCAGTGCAGACACGATTTAAAGATTAGCCGGCACATTTAATTCCCTGCTGTTTGTTTGTGGTCTGCACTGTTGGTTATTCAGTCATATTAGTATTTATTTTTCCACATGATGAGAAATATTGTATAAAAAATTGCATCTAAATAAGTAAAATAAATTGTTGATAAAACAAACTCAAGAAGTAACATATAAAAAGTTTAAGAACTGTATTGATATTCACAACCCCAGATAGACTTTGAATGTATTTTGTGAAATATGACAAACTTTACAATTTTTATGCATAAAAGTTTTGTTGTTTATAACATTGGTAAAAAAAGATCTTTTTTTAAAGAACTTGGGTCTTACATGTAGATTATACATGTATTAATTTATTTTTTGCTTCATTTTTCAGAGGCCAGACAGCATTACATAAGGCTGCGTGGTACCAGCGCAGGACTATATGTTGTGTACTGGTAGAGGCTCGAGCCTGTCTGACCAGGAAAGACAACCAAGGTAACACGCCAAGAATGCAGGCATTGAGAGCGGACGACAGGGAACTGGCAGCTTATCTAGAAAGTAAGCGGAAAAATATCATGACATTTAGAGCATGTTTTAAGAAACGGGTTTCTCAATTTTAGCTTTAGCTTGTCTCTTTCGAAGAAAAAGTTGAGTCATTATGATCGTGGCATCGTTGTCATTGTTCAAAACCTAAAATGTAGCCCATAATTTTGATTATTATTATTTTTTTTAAGTTATCAGTATGAAACAGGGAATACTTGCTTATCATGACAAAATGCAATTGTTAAACAAGGGGCATAATTCTGAAAACAATATTAATGGAGTTATGCCCCTTTTTATTACCTTAATTTTTTAACAGACGAGCGTTAACTCGGCATGCAGTGCTCTTGACTGTGCTTTAATTTAAAACTTTAGAAAAATTTCTAGATCTAATTTACATAATAGGAAGAATAGATCTACTTGATTCACTGAGCAATTGTTTTTAAGTTGTAAGGCAATAACATATATATATTATAACATAATTTTTTTCATATTTGTCAGCAGTAAACTGGTATGTTAATCAAGGTGCAAGGGAAATCTATAATTAGCTAAAATCAAATAAAGTCCCTATTTATAGCTACAAATTTTTTTCAATTTATGATATTAGATCTATAATTAGGTAGTAAACAAGTCATAGTTGATATAAACCAGTCTTCTTGATTGGTACACAAGTTTACCACAACCAGTCTCTGTACAAAATTGTTTTGGAAACCAATCTGCACTCAAAGTTATTAAACCAGTCTACACTCAAAATTATTATTAAACCAGTCTACACTAAAAATTATTATTAAACCAGTCAACAACCAAACTTATTATTATTCTAAGCCAGTTTCCTGTATAGCAAACCAGTCTAAAGAATAAAAATTCCAGTTGCTAATTTGAATTAATGATGTTGTTATTCTGTAAAACTTATTCAAAACCAGTCTTAGACTAATTAATTACTGATTCTTCTTATGTAAAATCAGGCTATTGATGTAATTTAATAAGATATTCAAAACTAGTCAACTAATGGAAAGTTTCAGCAAATGTTTAAACCAGTCTGATGATTTTTCAGATTATGAGAAATTATGGATAGGTGCCTCTGAAACTCAGCCGCCAAATATAACGTAAATTTCCACATACCTACATATATTATATGCACAGATAGGTTGCTTTATAATGCACTATGATTATTAATCAAGGAAAATACCCATCATTATTTTATTCAAACGCCACCTGGACAACAATGTTATTTTTTCAGAAAGATCATTGAGCTTGAAAGAGAAAATCTTCAAAACCAGTATAACCAAGAAAGAAAAACACTCGACCATGTGGTTTTGTTAAAATTCTCGCATCTGCTTAAATTAAGGAATTATACATGAATATTAAGTAGGTTTTATTGATAATATTATCTCATAATTATATTCTTCTCTGGGATTTTATCCTTTTGTCTTCAGTATGCTTAAAATAGCTTTCAACACTCTTGCAAAACTTAATTATAACCTTGATCAGCATGTATGTATTTGAAGGGCTATTTACTTATGTTAAAGGCTATGGCTGAGGGGTTGCCTGTAAGTGTTGAGGCATCAGAATTGCAGCCACTGTATATCCCTGTGTGATCATTACAGGAGACTAAATAGGTTTAAATTACTGAAGTCTATATGCATCTCCTAGCTCCAGTTAGGATAGGTGGTTTTGAACACCCGAGGTTAGCCAAAAGCATCTTTCCTGTTCCTGTGATATATGACCTAAATTGGTGTTGGTGTGTCGTAAAACCATATATTTCTTAGAATCTTATTTTGGGTATCATGTTTTTGTCATGCTATAACTTGTATTTCAATACTTGCACTTAACTGAGCTCCACTAAGGTCAAAAATTATAAGAACATGATATTTGAAATCGTACTTATTAAGTCAGTTAAAACGGAAAAATATGGAAAAGATAAACAAGAAATATACTAAGAATTTCATTGAATATAAATAATAAGTATGATTCTAAGTCCAATTTAATTAAAAGCATTATGAAACGTTTTTCATTTTCAAGTGATTTTGTACAATAATAATGATTATTCTGAAAAAAAGCTTTGGGAGCGAATGATCGGAAATATTTGTGTAGAACAAAATAAAGAACGGTTTAAAAATCTTGAAAAAAAAATTACAGCTCTATCAGACAACGTGGTGGAGTCCCTGTAAGTGACAAAAAACAATATGCAATCCATCGCCAATAGTGTGAAGCAAAGTTAATTTGTGTATTAATGCAATCTGACTGTACTCCAAACAGCTGCTGCCTAGTTTAATTAATGCAATATAATTAATATTCTGTTGAAAAAAAAAAAAACTTAAACCAAAGAGTTAAAAATTTAAAACAATACAACCATGTCTGTAATTCAAATTAACTGGGATAAGAGTGAATAGAAGCATTGTGTAATGGCTTGTACATGTACGGGGTAACTTATCTGTCTCTGTGTTTGGATCTGGTGAATATTAAACTTGTTGTCCAGAATAGTTGCTTTTAATCTTACCTAGGCTATCTGTTAATTAACTAACTGAAATGAACTAGTAGTAATATTATAGTAATAGTAGTATATATCTAGCATCAGCACCAAATATAAAGGCCGCAAAATATCGCTGCCCCCTCTCCCTCTCCCTACCCAATCCCAGTGATTTTTACCATTTCTGGAAAAGATTTTAAATTTCCACCTCAAGCCCCCTATCCCAGAAGGAAAAATAAATGATTTTTGCCATTTCTGGAAGACAAAAAAAAAGAGAAAAGATTTAAAGTACCACACTTCTTGTCTTAAATTGCTTTACATTTCAAGGCAGTATTCAAGAGAGATAAAAAAGTTTCGACCAAAGTCTTTTATGTAACAATTTCTTCCATTGGTCAGTTTTAAATCTTTGCCAAGTAACAGTCTGAAAAAAATATATGAAATTTAAGCTATGATTCCCCTTGTTCACTTATAAATACATCTTTGCACACATTATTTTGCAAGCAGGACCTAATTTTAGTTCTTTGAACAGGACTTACTGGAATCTTTTTCTATTTGACTTCAAAGGAAGAAATGGGTACTTTATATTTATTTGTTAATGCAAAAGCTTTTTAATACATTGGCTTTGCAATACATAGTTACTAATGCTGTAGTTATATTTTTGATAGAAGATGGATCTGTCCCTAAATGAAATAATAGGTGGATATTACATGTAAATATTTATTTATTTACAGGAAGATATTTTTATGTTTTAAAAAATGTTTTTGAAAATCAAGCGACACTACAAAAATACTAATAGCAATGAAAACTGGAAACAAGTCCCTATAAATAGCCAAGGTGTATGAATATCAAATATAAACCAATGAGAAGTTGTTTTGTTGATGCTAAGAAACAGACACTAAAAATAGAACTAAAAAAGGTAAACAATCCAATGAAGCGTAATTAGTTATTTTAATGCTTAAAATAATTCAATTACTTTCCTTAGATATCAAAACGTAAAACAGATATAATTTAATAAATTTATTTGTCCTAAGTGTCGCAAACAAGATCTAAAGTAATGTATAAATCAACGACAAAGTACTTTAGAGATAATCAAATAACCGCCATCCCTAAGCCCAACAAACTAAGGCAATCAAAATAAACAACACAAAATCAAAAATTTTTTTTTACCTTAGACCGCAGAAACAAAATTTATATACAGGAATCTTCTGAAAGATTCAAAATTTTAACACAAATTGTAGAAATAAATGAAATAGTAATTTGAATCAACAATTACTACCATATGATTAACATAATATTATATATATATATATATATAATATACAATTACAACCTTAGAATAATTTGTTATGACTTAACTGCCCAGAAGGTTAACACATCCAACTGTAGACAGTATTTCTTCAATCAAGAAGAAACTCATAACAAAAATAATAATTAATAACTCAGCGTAGAAATAACCCTCAAGAAGAAATGACCCAAACGATTTGAGCCCTCAGTATTCAAATGTAACCCTCCATCTAGATTGGCAAAAAGAAATCTTTTGATCTGCCCCTTAAACAAAAATGGACGGAAAGATTTCACAAACTTCACATTCAAATCTTTGGACATTTCTTTTTCAAAACAAGTATTGACTTGTTTGATAACTGACTCAGTTTCATCCTTATCCACCGGCCGAGGAAGTATAGAAGAAACGATAATATGAATGTCTGGTTTTAAACGACGGACTGTTGCAATCAAATTTGCCAGACCAGATAAAATATAGTCACATGAATTGCCATTGGCAATATTATTGGTACCAGCATGAATAATTATATAGTTACTAGAACCAAGAGACAGCTGTCTATTCTCTAGAAGAAAATTGATTTTACCGATTGTAGCACCTCTGATGGCTCTAACTTCAACTCCCTCAATCGGTGGTAAGTTTTTTATCATAGAATCCCCCACAATGATCACCTTCCTGAATTCTGAAATTAATTAGGTATTCAAAGATAGAATACTTTGAAATACAAAAGAATACTTTTGAAATACAAAATACAATATATAAAGACTTCAAATATATAATCATTTACCCAAAAAGAAAATTCTGCTAACTTAAATAAATGTCTGTCAATAGTAGAGACAAAATTAAGAAAATTATCAAATTTCAGTAAGTGAAATTCTGCCAACTTGTGTAAACATCAAGTTATAACAGATACTCCATTAATTAAAATGAAGCCACATAAGTAAATAAAATTATAACATATTACATAAATAACACTGTTCTTCAACAGTTGCTATGAACAATGTGTTTTCTATATGTGATAACTTGTCACTAACACTGCCCTTCAACAGTTGCTATGCAAATGGTGTAATTTCTATATGTGAAATTCTGCCAACTTGTGTAATCATCAAGTTATAACAGAAACTTCATTAATTAAAATGAAGCCACATAAGAAAATAAAATCATAACATATTATGTAAATAACACTGTCCTTCAACAGTTGCTATGAAAAATGCGTTTTCTATATGTGAAAACTTGTCACTAACACTGCCCTTCAACAGTTGCTATGCAAATGGTGTAATTTCTATATGTGAAATTCTGCCAACTTGTGTAATCATCAAGTTATAACAGAAACTTCATTAATTAAAATGAAGCCACATAAGAAAATAAAATCATAACATATTAAATAAATAACACTGTCCTTCAACAGATGCTAGGCTAATAGTGAAATTTCAATATGTGAAAGTCTGCCAACATGTGTAAGCATCATGTTGTAACAGATACATCATTAATTTAAATGAAGCCACATACATGTAGAAAATAGAACTATAACATTAGGGCCTACATAAAAAACTCTGTCCTTTAACAGTTGATATGCAAATTGTGAAGTTTTTTATATGTCAAAATTCTGCCAACTTGTGTATTCATCATGTTGTAACAGAAACTCCATAGATTAAAATGAAGCCACATAAGAAATTCAAAATTCAAAACGTAACCAAATAAACACTATATATAATAAGGAACTTGAATGTCATAACAATTTATACTACCCTTAATGAATACTTAAGATAATTGTAATTGAAAATCTGCCTACTAATTGAAAGACCTTAAATATTATATCTAATCATATTTTAATTTATTACTAATGAATTTTGATACTCTTAATTTATCTTGAAAAGAATACTCTATATACTTTTTATAGGCATCCGACTTCCAGTCACCCATTAATTGAATAAGATCTGCAGGTAAATTAAGCCTAAAGGCATAAGTAGCAAAACCTCTACGAAAAGAATGAGTAGAGAAGTCCTCAGAATTTAAACCAATATTGTCAATACAAGATTTCAATTTTCTCATAAAGATTGCATATGTAACTGGTTTATTAGAGCCTAGCGAAAACAAAGGATCATTAGCCTTGCCAGGAACTACCTTAATCATATTATTGTAAGCAGATACAGGACATAAACAAGAATGATCTATACTGTGTAAAGGAACCTCTAAAATCCGTTCTCCTGCTTGTATAGTTTTTGACCATTTCATCTTAACCAACAAATAAGTGCCTAAATTGACAATATCTTTTCTCAACAAAAACTTTGGATTCTGCAAATCTCTTAAATTTGTTGGTACCAAGTTTGATTTTCTAGCCAATAAAAAGAAGGCAAATAAAAACAAACACCAAAAAACAACATTATCAACTTGAGTAAAATCTAAACATTTAAAAATACTCAGCAGAATTTCTGGAGTAATAGGAGTCGCCTGTTTATGCAAATACAGTTTTTGTTTACTTATCCCTTTAAGAGATAAATTTAGTAGAAAATTATTAATATGTTCCACTGAAGCACCTAGTAACAAATGCATTGTTTTAACACCACTGATGTAATTTCTAATTGAATCAACTGATTTCATGGATCTACTCAGAAACTGAGCATATAATTGAAGTGTTTCAGTAGAAACTGGCAGAGAAACCAAATGAAAATAGGTACAGAAAAGCAGAAATGCCTCCCATTGAATCTTCAAATTTTTCCATGTACCTTCAGCATAAGCTTGTTTGTTAGATAACATAAGATCATGCTTCAACCCCATAAACTGAACCTCTGAAATTTAAAAAACAATTAAACCACTAATTTAATGTAAAATCACCATGGATTTAAGATATCAAAATCAGTACTTTTAACTGAAAATTCTTTTAACCTATAATTCTTTGTTAAACTAAAGAACTCATTACGATGAAATTCCCCCTGTTCAAATCTTGATAAATGGTCAGCTAAACGATTCTCTGATGAAGAGATATGTTGAGCTTTAATTTCAAATTCATAAACTGCAGAAATGAAGCAAATCTCCCTTATGTATTTTTGAAAGAAACGGGCATTTAGCTTTCCCGGAATTAATAGCAATACATGTAGAAAGATTATCACACAAAATGACTATCCTTGAATGCCTAAAATTAGAAGCCCACAGATGTAAACAAAGTACTAAGGCTAGCATCTCTAATGCACCTATATGTAAATTAAATGACAAAATTTCTGAAGGAAATAAAGCATGGAAATAATTCCCTTCCCAAAAACCACCACAGCCTTCTAGACAAGCATCACAACTTAAAATAGTATCAGGCTCACACCAAGGTCCTAGATACAACAAAGAAATACCATTATATTTTGGCAAAAATTCATTCCACCATAGCAAGTCTTTTTTAACCTCATCAGGAATGCAATGTTTAACCCATTACTTCATATACACGCCTTTTAACGCCTTTTTCACCCCCCCCCCCTTTTTGTTGTCTCAAATGATGAAAAAATGCCTTATTTAGGCCCCAAACACTTGTTTTTGTTTGAGAAATGTTGTTAAAAAAAGTGACCTCTTTTTCGGCGCGGCCCCCCAACCAAAAGATACATCAGGGGGTTGCCAGAAGGGGGATGTGCCCCCTTCTGTGTGGGGGGGTTTGAAGGGGGGCGGAGTCCCCCTCATCGCCAAGAAAATTTTGGACTTGTGAGAGGCTGTAAATGACCCCAGATTGATCATAAGGTAACGTGTAACCAACGCTGAAAAGCATTTGACTCTATCTGAATCCATTGAGAAGTTGCAGCACTTTGAAATCAATTTTGATGGAAAAAATCAACGCAAAATAGTGATTTTTGGCAATTTTGAGATGTCCCCTCGTTGCCATGGTAACAGAAAATTTAAGCCTGAGCATGTTGTTGCAAGGGCAATGGTCCAGTCAACATTTGTGCCAAGTTTGATTAGTGTTGAAGCAGTTTTTATAGTATTATAGCAATTTGAACTTGTAACGGGAGACTTTTCAATGAAAACAGCCATTTTTCACAAAATGCTCATGAAGCAATGGGTTAATGAATAAAATAAAAAAATCTACAAAACAACAATTTTTCTTCAAATTTATATGACAGACCATGTTTAAACATGAAAAAACGCGATTAAGGGTAATTTCAAGTATTTTCATCATTTTCTGTTAACCCATTACTTCATATACACGCCTTTTAACGCCTTTTTCACCCCCCCCCCTTTTTGTTGTCTCAAATGATGAAAAATGCCTTATTTAGGCCCCAAACACTTGTTTTTGTTTGAGAAATGTTGTTAAAAAAAGTGACCTCTTTTTCGGCGCGGCCCCCCAACCAAAAGATACATCAGGGGGTTGCCAGAAGGGGGATGTGCCCCCTTCTGTGTGGGGGGGTTTGAAGGGGGGCGGAGTCCCCCTCATCGCCAAGAAAATTTTGGACTTGTGAGAGGCTGTAAATGACCCCAGATTGATCATAAGGTAACGTGTAACCAACGCTGAAAAGCATTTGACTCTATCTGAATCCATTGAGAAGTTGCAGCACTTTGAAATCAATTTTGATGGAAAAAATCAACGCAAAATAGTGATTTTTGGCAATTTTGAGATGTCCCCTCGTTGCCATGGTAACAGAAAATTTAAGCCTGAGCATGTTGTTGCAAGGGCAATGGTCCAGTCAACATTTGTGCCAAGTTTGATTAGTGTTGAAGCAGTTTTTATAGTATTATAGCAATTTGAACTTGTAACGGGAGACTTTTCAATGAAAACAGCCATTTTTCACAAAATGCTCATGAAGCAATGGGTTAATGAATAAAATAAAAAAATCTACAAAACAACAATTTTTCTTCAAATTTATATGACAGACCATGTTTAAACATGAAAAAACGCGATTAAGGGTAATTTCAAGTATTTTCATCATTTTCTGTTAACCCATTACTTCATATACACGCCTTTTAACGCCTTTTTCACCCCCCCCCCTTTTTGTTGTCTCAAATGATGAAAAAATGCCTTATTTAGGCCCCAAACACTTGTTTTTGTTTGAGAAATGTTGTTAAAAAAAGTGACCTCTTTTTCGGCGCGGCCCCCCAACCAAAAGATACATCAGGGGGTTGCCAGAAGGGGGATGTGCCCCCTTCTGTGTGGGGGGTTTGAAGGGGGGCGGAGTCCCCCTCATCGCCAAGAAAATTTTGGACTTGTGAGAGGCTGTAAATGACCCCAGATTGATCATAAGGTAACGTGTAACCAACGCTGAAAAGCATTTGACTCTATCTCAATCCATTGAGAAGTTGCAGCACTTTGAAATCAATTTTGATGGAAAAAATCAACGCAAAATAGTGATTTTTGGCAATTTTGAGATGTCCCCTCGTTGCCATGGTAACAGAAAATTTAAGCCTGAGCATGTTGTTGCAAGGGCAATGGTCCAGTCAACATTTGTGCCAAGTTTGATTAGTGTTGAAGCAGTTTTTATAGTATTATAGCAATTTGAACTTGTAACGGGAGACTTTTCAATGAAAACAGCCATTTTTCACAAAAAGCTCATGAAGCAATGGGTTAATGAATAAAATAAAAAAATCTACAAAACAACAATTTTTCTTCAAATTTATATGACAGACCATGTTTAAACATGAAAAAACGCGATTTAGGGTAATTTCAAGTATTTTCATCATTTTCTGTTAACCCATTACTTCATATACACGCCTTTTAACGCCTTTTTCACCCCCCCCCCCCTTTTTGTTGTCTCAAATGATGAAAAAATGCCTTATTTAGGCCCCAAACACTTGTTTTTGTTTGAGAAATGTTGTTAAAAAAAGTGACCTCTTTTTCGGCGCGGCCCCCCAACCAAAAGATACATCAGGGGGTTGCCAGAAGGGGGATGTGCCCCCTTCTGTTTGGGGGGGTTTGAAGGGGGGCGGAGTCCCCCTCATCGCCAAGAAAATTTTGGACTTGTGAGAGGCTGTAAATGACCCCAGATTGATCATAAGGTAAAGTGTAACCAACGCTGAAAAGCATTTGACTCTATCTCAATCCATTGAGAAGTTGCAGCACTTTGAAATCAATTTTGATGGAAAAAATCAACGCAAAATAGTGATTTTTGGCAATTTTGAGATGTCCCCTCGTTGCCATGGTAACAGAAAATTTAAGCCTGAGCATGTTGTTGCAAGGGCAATGGTCCAGTCAACATTTGTGCCAAGTTTGATTAGTGTTGAAGCAGTTTTTATAGTATTATAGCAATTTGAACTTGTAACGGGAGACTTTTCAATGAAAACAGCCATTTTTCACAAAATGCTCATGAAGCAATGGGTTAATCTTTTTATCTGCACCATACAATTGTCTGAGCCAATTTAACAATCTAGCCACAAAAATCCTGCTTGGTTTAACACAAGCTCCTACGAAGTTCAATTTCCCTAAAAGAGACTGAAGCTCCTTTAAGGTAGCAACTTTTTTATTTAACCATACTTTCACCAAACTACGAATCTCAATCAAACGATTTGGAGTGATTTCCATAGTCATAGTCTCAGTATTGAACAAAACGCCCAAAAAAGTCATGATTGTAGAGGGTGGTGAACATTTTTCTACAGCTTCTTGTAAACCACACAACTCTAAAACTCTAGTCAGAGTTGAATAAGCAAAGTAAGCAAGCTCTGGTTTTTCAACCCCAGCTAAATCATCTAAATAGTTCAAAACAGAGATGCCCATACCCAGTAACATAAATGCTACAGCATTAGTAACACGTTGACAAATATAAGCAGCACTGCGAAGACCCATTGATAAAACAACATCACAAAAAAAAAAAGATTATTCCAAGAATAAGCCACTAAATTATAATCAGAAGGACATATACTAATTTGTCTGTATGCGCCTTTCAAGTCTTTTTTGTATAACCTAGCCGAAGTGCCTTTAGCTAAAATCAACTTAACAAAATCATCTATTCTAGGAAAAATAGTAGAACTTGCCATCCCTAAATATTCATCCTTTTCAATGTAATCATTAACCGCGCAAGAAGTATTTGAACTCAAATCTAAAATTACTCTTCTGTCTGAAACCTCCTTTTTTGGTACTGAATTTAAAGGAGACACTAACATATTATTTGAAAATGGATTTTTTTGAAAAGGGCCTATAATGTGCTCATTTTGAATCTCTTTTTGCAAATATTTGTTAATTTGAACAGGAAAATCATTGGCCCCTTTATAATTTTTGTAATTAGAAGCTTCTAAGGATTTTGAAAATGCATTTTCATTACCAGAAAAAATTTATAGGAAAACCAAATTCCAAAAAAATCACATACCAGCATATCATTATATTGAAAGGTTGACAAAATTTGTCTCATATAAGAAGTATTTATCTTGTTATTAATTGGAATACGGCAACCTTCAAAATTATGTTTTCCTGACTTTTTAACCAATTCATGAATTAAAATTTTCTTATTAACTTCTGAAAAGGTAGAATTATTTTCAACAAAAACTACACATGTGACATGAACCAGATTGAGAACAAACATGAAAATTTTCCTTTATATTACTTTCTGAATTTTTGAAACAAAATTCTGGTAAAAACAAATCTTCAACCTTATTTTCATTCTTGAAACTTCTGTTGCATGAAAAAAGTCATTGCATAGCATATGGACAAGCTGTGGAACACTCCGGATGATCCAATTTCTTTTTATCTTTCTGCCAACAGGAAGCACAAATATGTTGAGCCATACGCATCCTACCTTTTACAACCATCATGTGACCAGATTTGTTAGAACATTTATTCCTCTGATAAGGAGAACAAAACCAAGTAGAACCTTGACTTTCATCAACAGAATTATCAATAGAAACCTGCTTGTTGAAATTTCTACGATTTCTTGTACTAGATGTAGACTTGCCCTGAACTTGAGGCTGATATTTGCTTAGAATAGCCATTTCAATATAATGGAAATCATCAGACCAGGACTTCTTACCAAGCTCTATTTCCCTAAGAACAGCTGCATAATATGCCTTTAAAATGCTGAAACCATAGGATACGCTTAAATACATTAATCTTTTAAGTAATCCCATTCGTCCTTTTCTTTCTGTAG